GGTTTCATATGCAAAAAAAATTATTGCGCTAGCTCACGTGGTTGCAGAGCTACCGGGATTTAAAAATAGTTACGCAAAACAGAGCGTGCCCACTCTGACCGGCTTTAAAGGGTTAAACACAACACATCAAAACTTCCTGATCTTTTAGATGAATGTTCTTCTTCTTTCAGCTGCTCCCTTCAGGAGTAACCACATCGACTCATCTGCCATATCCCTAACACCCTCCTCTGCATGTCCCTCTCTACATCCATGTACCTCCTCTGAAGCCTTCCTCTTTTCCTCCTGCCTGGCAGCTCCATCTTCCATCCTTTATCTAGTATATTAACTTTTCCATTAGTACTTACAACCAAACAAAGTGTACCGTTTCTGCCTCAGTATTGGTAGAGTAAAAATACACTTGTTTTTTTTTATTTATATCAATAGTACACACAGATTTCTTTCTGTTTTCTCCTGAGAGTTTGAGCCTCACAAGGACACAGCTCCTGCTGTTTGAGCTTCCTTTGGTTCTTTTCATTAGTTGGTATTATTGAAAAACCAGCTGAACTCCTGGTATTGTCAGAATTCATTCACAATATGCACACAGTCAGGATCAGGCAATGAAAACTAATTATTAAAATGATCATTTTCGTTCATTGGCTTCAAATGTGAACGTTTAGTGTGTCCTTTACCTGGTGGTGTGTAGGCGTCCATGGAGCTCTGGACCACAAGCGACCGCCTCTTCGAAGGCATCGGCACCGCCATCTTTCTTTCTTTGTGCTTTGCCAGGGCTGCCTGCACCGCCTCCGTGTGCACATCTGGAAACGTATGCAGGACGTATAAAAAGTCTCTGTTAGTTCCTTCTCACAGTGATACAACGAATAATCACATAATCAGAGATGTTTTTTAAAACTACACTTCAGTGAGCTAACTTGGTGTTAGCTGTTGAATTCCTTTTTGTCGGCACAAATGAAAATTACTCTACTCTAAAATTACTATCCAAAATAAGAGGTTACTGGTTTCCCCCAGCATTTATTAGCATCTATAATAGCATCTATAATACAAAGTGAGAATTGTGAATTTAAAAGCTTAATACACTATACATATTTTTGTCCCCAAACTACTCCTAGACCAACGTACCGTCAAACATCAGGGCTGGAGAGCAGTCGACTGATGTAACTGGGAGAGGATGAATTAATACATATAGTATATGTCTTATTATGTATACCTGTGGCTCTTTAGCCGCTAAAGTACTGCATGTTTCCTAGCAACAGGCTAAATTGACCCCTTATTAGCATTTAAGTTCCTTTAAAAAAAGCATTCTATAATATTTAGTTACATAATATCACATTTAAAAAAGGTTTAATTATGCATCATATGTTATCATGCATGCACTAAGAGCTCTGATGTCCAGTGCAAACATACAAATTAGATGGAGTCCATCCTGCAGCAGCAGCACACAGAGCAGCAAACAAGAGCAGGACTATCCTCTGTGTTTCTCTGTGTTTGTGCTGCACGGTTCTCTTTACAACGAGCACCATGTTCCCATTTATTCTCATTCAGTTTACGTGCACAAACATTCCCAGCCTGACAGCAGCTCCCATGAGGCCCTGTGGTTTCTGACTGGATTAGGTGCAGGGCGTGTCGGCGAAGATGTTTTGTAAATTTGTGTTTTTAAGAGTGAGAAAGTGCTGCAAACAGAGCCACAGCGGGGTTTGTTTGAATGGTGCCCACTGCCAAAAAAAGGCAAACGCCACAAACGGCGACACAGAGCAAACGGGCGTTTGGCCCGATAGTGACATATTAAGACATTAGTCAGAACAAACGGGGCTCACAGATGTCCGGTTGTTTGGCTTGTGGATGTGCTTGTGTGAGGGGAACAGAGGTAATTTAAATCTCAAGTGCACATTTATTGTCTCCCGGTTGACTGAGTGTGACTGTGCAGTGTGTGAAAGCGAGCATGTGGCATTTAAAGGTGCTCACATGGCTCTTCTTTTTCAGTTCATTGGGTTAAACGGGTTTTGTAAGGATTTATTATGCATCAGATCAAACTTTAATAGCTTC